CCCTCTCTTTTATATTATATTTTTATTAGGTCCCTCTCTCTTTTATATTATATTTTTATTATTTATCATATTTTTTTAAAGTTTAAAGCATTACCAAATTATTTTTTTGTCAGCGATGAGATTCGAACACAATACCTTAGTGTTGGAGGCGATACTCCAACCATCTAAATTACTTCGAATTTTTTGATAGTAACTTACAAATAAATTATATTTATATACAAATAAATATATATCCGTGTAAATATATAAATACAAATATATTTATATATTTTGATATATTTAAATAATTATATATTTATATATTGGATGTGAGGGACACGTCTCGAAGGTGAAAGTGTGTGTCGAGTGGGTTTTCAAAATTTGATGCCAAATTTGTGAGCGAGTCTCTTTATATGGGTTTGTAATTTAATGACGGAATATAATATTTATAATTTATTTATATAATGATATAAAATAAATTTGGGAAACGCATCGTTCGTTCAAGTGACACATTCGCTCAAGCGAAAAATACCAATTTTCAGCTCAAGCTAGGCTTGAGCGAGTGAATTTCGTGAGCTTTAACGTATTTTCACTTAGCGAGTCAATCTCACTTTCACTCCGATCGCGCTACTCACATCCAACATAAAAATATATAAATATATCAAAATATATAAATATATTTGTATTTATATATTCTATATTTATATATTTACACGGATATATATTTATTTGTATATAAATATAATTTATTTGTAAATTATTATCAAAAAATTATAGTAGTTTAGTGGTTGGAGTATCAATTTTCAACTCTATAAAATACTATATTCGAATCCTATTAGTGACAATTCTCTAACTTAAGTGAATTTTTCTTGAAAAAAATAAAAACACTTTCCGAGAAAATATATATATAAATAAATATATATTTACACGAATATTTATTTGTATATAAATATAATTTATTTGTAAGTTATCATCGGAAAATTACAGTAGTTTAGTGGTTGAAGTATTAGACTTTCAATTCTAAAATATTGAGTTCGAATCATCATCAGTGATGATTCTACTAACTTAAGTGAATTTTTGGTGAAAAAAATAAAATCACATTCCGAGAAAATATAAATAAATATATATGTACACATAATATATATTTATTTGTATATAAATATAATTAATTTGTAAGTTATTATCGGAAAATTACGGTAGTTTAGTGGTTGGAGTATCAACTTTCAACTCTAAAAATGCGAGTTCGAACCACGTCGATGACAATTCTCAAACTTAAAAGAATTTTTGGTGAAGACACAAGACATTCAACGTCGGTTCATCTCAGAGCCAGACGTTAAAAATGTCCATACAAAGACTTTCAACGTCGGTTCATCTAGAGCTGAACTTTGAATGTACTTTCTACGCTCGGTTGACTTGGAGCCGAGCGTTAAAAGTGTCCAACATTCAACTTTCAACGTCGTTTTTAACCAACCAGAGCGTTGAAAGTGTATTTAACGTCAGCTCGAACTTTAGCTAGACGTTAAATGGCGACGTTGAAAGCATATATTGTAGTAGTGGAGTCCAAAATTTGACTATAAGAAGAGGAGAGAAGAGCTCGATTAACTCCCAAAAACAAAACTTTATCGATATGGTAAATAATCTACATTTATCATGTATGTGTACTATGATTATGAAGTTATAAATCTTCTCATTCATATATTGTGAGGTGTTAGTAAACTATACAAATGTCGGTGTCATGACTCCGAGTATAATTTTTAAGTGTAGATTTTGGTAACTTGTATACACGAGTAAAGTATGTATACTCATGTGACCTTGAGTAAGGTAAATATAAGTTTTGATAACTTATACTTAAGTAAGATATGTATAACTCGTGTAATCTCGAATAAGGTAAATATACGTTTTGATAACTTATACTTGAGTAAGATATGTATAACTCGTGTAACCTCGAATAAAGTAGATATAAATTTTGATAACTCGTGTATTTAAGTAAGTTATGTATAACTCATGTACCACAAGTAGGGTAGATGTAGATTTTGATAACTTCTATGCCTAGAATAAGGTATGTATAACTCGTATAACTCTACGTAACCACAAGTAAGGTATGTATAATTCTCGTAGTACACATGCATACAGGTTACTCATAGTCCATTAACGACCTTATTTTGCATCCATGTCACCTAACATGTCAACTTAAAGGATAAAGACACTCGTTCATGATAAGATTCCTCTATATCACGACTGACACACGCTACCTAAGGTGTCACTAAAAGCAATGGTCACAATCAAGTCTCCATTCATCAACAATCTAGATTGCATCTACGTCACCCAACAAACCAACTCGGAGGATAGAAATATTATTTACAACAAGATTCCTCGGTCTCACGCTCTCAATATATGTTGCCCAAGGTGTTAGTAAAAAACAATGACTATGATAAAGTCTCCACTCATCAACGACGCAGATTGCATCCACGTCACCCAATGAGTCGACTCGGAGGACATTAACAATGTTCATGATAAGATTCCTCTATACCACGCCCTAACACATGTTGCCTAAGGTATTAGCAAAAACAACAACCATAATCAAGTCTTCACTCATCAACCCTCCAAATTTTATACAGCATCACGATAGCGAGATCTTGATCAATTGATCTTGGGAGGATCAAGTAATATATTATTAATAAATAATAAATAAATATAAAAGGAAGAAAGAAGATGAAAAGGTGAAAGGATAAAATTGTAGATATATACTTAAATATAAATGATCATTAAGTTTGAGGGGACAAAATCATAAATTACATGAGGAGTTACAAGCGAGGAGGGGTTAAGAGGATAAAATTGTAAATATACAAGTAAATATATTAAATATTCATTAAGTTTGGGGGACAAAATCATAAATTACATGAGAGTTCTGAAAGCTTTGAGGTCGAGCGCACTTCGAACTCAAGAAGATTCACCATTACACGTCACCCAACTGGCCAACTTAAAGGATAAAGAAATGGTTCACGATAGCATCTCTCAATAACATATCCTGACACACGTGACTCAAGGTGTCAGCAAAAAACAACAATAATGATCAAGTCTCCACTCATCAACAATCTAAATTACATCCATGTCACGCAACATGCCAAGTAAGAAGACAAAGACAGGTTTTACCTTTATATGTAGTATCATTTCTACCTTCTCCATGTTACACTAAAGTAGCACTTTCATAAATTTAAACACAGTTCAATTCTATACTTGTGATTTTCAAAAATATTATTGTAAAAATAAACTAAGTATAAATCTACTCTATTAATAATAATGGTAATATTATTATATCTATGTTGTTTATAACCTACTTATTTCTTCATTACATTATATATTATGTTCAATACAACCTTGATAAAATATAACTGGTTCTCCCCATACCCACAATAACACCCATGGAAACCAACATAAATAACTTGAAAAATCTAAAGTTTAATTGAAACTAGTTAAACTTTCTACCATAAATTTCACTATATAATGTTTCACAAGATTTTCTTAGAGAATTAGGTATTATGCAAATTAAATTGATGCTAATTTTTCACATGATTCCCTTGGATAATTAGTAAAAGAGATGATAATATAGTAGTGAAAATTATTATCTTAGCATAAATATTCTCACTAAATAATTATATTAAATATTCATTATAATAATAATATATAAAGAATATTCTCATTCAATATTATATTATATTAGATGCATTTCATGATATTATAAAGAGATCTAAAAATAGTTATATACTAACTTAAATATTGGAGTATCTTTGTAAGTGAATCTTCAATTTTTTCCTATTCAACCAAGCTCGTATTAAATAAGCAAAACTCAGACAAAATTATTTGTGATCAAGACTAATTAATTCGAAATATTTACATTATTCTTCTTATATTTCTTCCCAACAAGAATAAGAATAATTTCTTCCCAACAAGAATAAGAATAATTTCTTCCCAACAAGAATATATAATATAAATTATACTTGTACAGAAAAGAAAAAAGTATCCAAATAACTTTTATATATTTTAAATTCATAATATTACAACTTTTTATAATTAAATTATATTAAAATTTATTACCGGAATGAAGATAAATATTAAAAAGAATAAATAGTTGATAATATCAAATACATAATAATAATCGAAAAATAGTAAGAGTGAAATTTTTGGCATATGGATGTTGAAAATATTTAATTGAGTCTAAGTCTCCCTCTCCAAATTATTGAAATTTTATTTATAACATAACAGTATATTTATTAAAAAAATTATATAACAAATAATTGATTTCTCTATGCATCCAAATAAAATGCATAAAATTTGAATTTCATGTTTTTAAAGAAACATGTAAATTATATATAAACAAATTTAGATAATGTCTTGATGAATTCAAAACACACACACTAAATATATATATATATAAAGAGGTGTAAAAGAAAAGAAGAGACAGAAGACCAATTAAAGAAATGAAAAGTCAACTGTGTGATCTGTCTTTACCATTATCATCGTGATTATTTACATCATAACTACTGCAGTAGTGAATTTATGAGAAATATATGCATATAGTTTAAACTATTTTTTTCTGGATTAGATATTATAGATCAACATATTTTCATCTTAGGTTAATATGGTATTTTTGTTTACACAAAGAAGTGTAGTGAAAGATAATATCTATTGTTCATTATATCATGGAAAAGAATATATCATTTGTGATTGAAAACCAACCCGTACTGTATTTAATGTACAAACCATTATCATTAGCTAAACAGGAAAACTACAAATTACCTCAGGAATTAAAACGAGGTAAACAAAAATCCTCAATTTTCATTTGATGAAAATCATTCCTAAGTAGTACGGAATGAGTCCTTTAAATAAGTTATTGAGTGGATAAAAAAAACATAACTGATAGGATTAAAAATGAAAAATTTTCCTCTTAAAGACTAGTCCTTTATAAAACCAATGAAAACTCCTACCAATATCGTAATTATCCACAAAATTCACCTCAATCCTCACCAGTCCATCCTCTTTGAACGGACACCCCGGCGAGATCCGGATGCGATTCGGGTCTTGACCTGTTCAAACTCGGTGAACCGGCACGGTATGGTGATTCCCCCGTCATGGTGGAATCCGAACTCCTCTTCAGCCTCCTTCAGCAATTCCCCAAACAAAGGGTGGTTGAAGTATATTACCGGCACCAGCACTCGGTGCAACTCCCCATCCTTCTGCCCTACGTACACGGCGAGGTGTCCCTTGGGCACACTCGGATCAGGGTCGGATCCTAATTGAGCGTAACCCGACCCGGACGTCACTGTCAAGAAGGACTTGGCGCCGGCCTTCAGCTTGCGACCCCATTTGAGGAGTTTGGCGATAGGCGACCGGTGATAGTCGCCGAGGCGATGGTATCCGGGTCGGCCCCGGAACCGGATCTTCCTGAAGACCCATTTGGAGACCCGGATGAGGCGCTTCCTGAGGTTGAATCCGCGAAATTTGGACATGTGCCTCTGGGGAAGAGTGAGTGGAGATTTTAAGGGAAAAGGCAGAAAGATATGGTGTGGTGTGGTGTATGGTAATGAAATTGAAGAGGAGGGAGGGTGTATCCGTGGGGTTCATGAGAAGGGCCAAGGGTCTGCTACGGACATGGCAAGGCGAAACTGGGTGAGGCAAATCTCAGAGAGCGATGTGGGGATGTTTGACATGGTTTTCAGAAGCAGTTGGGTTTCATTGTGGAACCATGAACTCAGCCATGTCTTCCAAACCTACGTGGGAGAAGCTCAAAATGAAATGGTTTTGCAGGCGTGAGCGAAGACACGAACTCGTTCGCAAGTGGTGCAAAATATTTTGGGCCCTTGCAAGGACTCTCTACTAACCTATATATACCAAAACTCTACGTTAATAAGACTTGTTACTTCGTAACGTACACGGTAATGAATTGGATAACCTGGTTTCATCTGTTGCAGGGCGTTTCCTTTTTATTGTTTCATTATGGATATGTTTTTCATTATTATTATTATTATTTTTAAATAAGATCAAATTTTTTTGTTATGCTACCAGTTATGCATTGTTAGGAACGAATTGGATATTCCTCACTGTTAAAGAAAAATAAAAACCTTTTACTTATGTTATTGTCAAAATTATGTTGTAAATATAACTTTTAAAATAATTAAAAATACTTTTTTATAAAAACTTAAGATTTAAAATATAATTAATTTTGTTTTGAAATTCATTTTAGATTTTTTTATCTTTTAACTTAATCTTATCATAATAAACTGTATGTTATATTATTTCTATATTTCAAATTGTATAACACTATTTTAATTTAACGGGAAAGTATAGAATTAAGACTAAAACTATAATGTTAAATTTTAAGTTACTCAGCTTTTTATTTTTTTAAATCAATAATAAAAATATGAAACTTATTTAAACTAAAAACTTAGTTATTATAATATTAATATGCATTAATTACTAGGTATCAAAGCATGATTTTTGTGAAGGACTGAATAGAAATTTTAGAAATTAAAATAATAAGAAAATAATTGAACATGATACATGTCGTACTTGTTTATTAATGAAATTAGACTGTAGCATACGTTCTATTTTATGTATGTGTGATCTATCCAATCGTTGAAAATATATGCAAAACGGTGAACAAATTATTAATTAATTAATTAAATAAGATTTATACAATATAGGTAATATATCTCTTCATCTAATCAAGTTAAAGAATTGTATACGTGACGAATTTTCTCTAGTTGGATTTTAAAAATCTTGCTTAAAATCACATTTATTAAAAGGAAGTTTGTATAATAACCAAACGTAAAATAATATTTATGAAGGACCGGATCCAAGTAGAACAACTAATAAAAGAAGTATTATGGTTAGAAGAGACAGGTTCACTTAACACAAAATATAGCTTTAAAGAGACATTTTTGAGCAACAACTGTGGGGAAGTGGTAAAAAGAAATTGTTTTTCCCATTACATGAAAAATAAAAAAGTCATGCGCAACACGGGAATAAATTCTCAGCTCGTGAAGAAAGACAACAATCTCACAATGCAAAGGATGATATCCATGATGGAGCAATTACAAAAGCCGAATGAGAAGCTCGATTGAGAGCGGAGATGACTTAGAACGAGCAAGAATAGTTATATCAATAGAACGAAAACTTTTAGTAGAGCCTCACAATGATTATTGACAAGAAAAAAGAAGTGACGAGACTCACCATCAAAAGCATAGGAGTTTTAGCTGTTTGTCCCCTCCATCATGAGTGAGCCAATTTTGGCTCACTACCTAGTACCAAAGATAAATTCTTTTAATGGCATGAGGACGATCCATTTGAAAATATTAAGGACACAAATGCTAATAAGTGGAGGATAAGATGAAGTACGATGCAAGATGTTTATAGGCATGCTCACTACAACAACATTGGATTGATTTAGCAATCTACACAACAAAGTCATAACGTTGTTTAAAGTGTTATCAAAGTTGCTTGTGGCAAATAGATTTAAACCACCTAGGCTAAGCGACTTATTTAACGTGAAACAACATAGTACGAGTCATTAAAGAAGTACTTGAAGCATTTTTGTGAGGTAATGGTGAAAGTGCCTTAAGCCGATGAAGCAATGTTCATCGAGCAATGAGGTAGCGCAATACTCGTTGAAGGTACAATGGTCATTACGTCGAGACTTGAGAAAGGAAATTGAGCTGTTACCTAGGGATGGCAAAGCAGGTCGACCGCCAGCCTTTGGCCGCCAAAAGCGGGCGGGACGGCCAGCCCGATATAGTCATGACGGGTTGTAGACACTTAGCCCGCCCCGCCAAGTGGGCTGTAGCTGGCATGGCTGACGGTCGACCCACCATAATTTAGAAAAAAATATTTTTTTTAAATAAATTTAATAATAAAATTATTATTTGTTTGTCAATAATTCAATATATATATATATATACATATATATATATATATATTATTTCAATTTAATAATATAAATCAATACATTATTTTAAGAAATTATAATTTAGAACAATAATAAAATTTACATAATAATAAATAATAACAAATATATATATATATATAAATAACTTTAAACTTATAAAATTTATATTTTTTATATTGAAAAATTCAAATACCTATATCTTTTTTATTTGATAAAACTTCATATTATTCTTGGTTGAGTAATTCTTACACCATTAATTCAAGTAATAAGGATAAAAATAATTCAGTGCTTAGGATAAACAAGGAGAACATGAGAGAAGGTTATGTTTTAGGAAGGAGAATGTTTTATGTGAGAATAAAACTTTTTTAACTCTCTTTTTAAAATTTTTAACTTTATATATTATCTTTATAATTATTTTTATTACAATAAAAAATTATTTTTTATTAATTAGACGGACCATGAGTTGGCCGGCCGAGTCCCACGGGTTGGCCCAATGGGTTGACGGGCTTGACGGGGCGGGCCAAAGTGAGGTCAGCGAGGCGTCACGCGGGCCTAGCTCGTTTGCCATCCCTATCGTTACCCGAGGATGCACAAATTTATTCCGACATAACAAATAAACAATTGTTAAAGGATGTCAACACCACGAAAGTCGTTTACCTAGCCTAAAAAGGTGGACAAGTAGTTATGTCCTAATCATCGGACTCGTGGTGTGAGTTCCACGGAACATGGGGCCATGACACAAAGAAATGTTATGCATTGATACAACAAATAGAGGATTGATCCAACAAGAATGCCTACGAAATTATGAAAAATGGGTAAAAGACTATGGAGTCAAGAAAATCGGAATAATTTGGACAAAGATGAGCACAAGACACCCATGCTCGGTGACTTCAACACTATCGTCGGGGATTCGTGGGAGGAGACTGCACAAGCTCGGTTAGAAAATAGTATTCGATGGTTAGACATGGATCGAATGATCAACAACAATTGTTACCGCTTCTTGAATGGAGATTTAGAGGGTATCATTCCCCACCAGGATGACCAGGTAGGCGTGACGAAAGTAATGATGAGCGAGAAATATCTATCGGGTATTGGTAGACCAGGATAGTTAGGCGGATATAATATATTAGGATATATTTGTGAGGCACTGGGGTCCCAATGGATTCCTTAAAACCCTTTGATGGAGTGTTAGTAGGATTCATAAGAGAGTATATGGAAGTTTGTGGCTACGCTGAGTGAGAACAACATTTCGGTCGAGAAAAGACAACGAAAACCATCACCGTGAAATACTTGGTCGTGAAGGTACCATCATCTTACAATATTCTTTTAGAAAGACCTTCACCGAATCGTTTAAGAGGAGTGGTTTCAACGGTTCACCTAAAAATCAAGTACCACGTCAACAATGGCCTCATCGGGACAATATGTGTCAATCAATTGATGACACAATGATGCTACGAGAATAGCTTGCACACTTCTACTTTACCCACGAGCACGAAGCAATGAATTACCTAACATAGACCCTTGAGTCTAAATGGAGGATTGACGATCACAACCAACCGACGAGTTAAAGGAGGTATCTCCGGAAGACAACAAAAAGATAAAGATTGGCGAGAACCTTGATTTCGACCTAAACTAAGAGTTCATCAAAATACTTTAGGCAAACATGCAAGTATTTGTATGTTTAACACATTACACCCTAGACATCGATCTTGATATTTTATGTCGAGAGACTCATCATTGACCCAAAAGAAAAGCTAATGATACAAATGATGAAGAAAATTTGGAACGAAAAAACAACAAGCAATCAATATGTTATTATAACAAAAGAATATTTACAATAATTAAAAAATGATTATTAGATATTTTGTTGAAAGAAAAAAAAGAATAAATTTAACTTAAATAAACCATCACAAATACATTATTTACATTATTATCACTCTTTTTAAACTCAAAAATCAACTTTATAATAATAAGGATGTATTTATTATATTTTTCCTAATATCTTAATCATGAAAGACTAAAATAATATAATTTCTAGAAGAAAACTCTAACGACCCTCTCCATTTTGAACATATATCATGCTCCTATCCCGTACTCATGATATTGTGTACTTGGTTCTTGTCATATGGAGAATCAGAGGTAATATCAACAATGACAACGTTAATCTCAAGTTGGGTAGACATAGGTTAATGATGATGTTGAAAAAGAAAAAGAAAATCTTAGCTAGATGATTGGTTCCTCCATAAACAAAGAAAAAACCTCGTGCAGTAATTTTAATCCTTATGCTTTTTGTTGTTATAGAAAAAACATTATTCTCCATTTTACAAAGTGAATGTCTTTTACTAGATTTGAATTAGGCTTACTGGAGTTCTCAAGAAAATTGACTTTTGAATAATGTTGAGATTTTGTACATGTTTTTCAGCAAAATGATTTTTTTCCTCAATGAGAAGACACACAAACAAAGTATCAAAAGAAAAGCTTCTAGGTTTTTGTTTTAAATTTCGAACACAATTAGACCAAGAAGGATATAAAAGCCACAATTATGGTGTAAGGCAACAAATTTCTTTAAATCTCGTCTCATAAACAATGTTTTTAAATTGATGAATGGGATAAGAAATAGATTTATTACTATGCTCCTCTTATGTTAAATTATATGTACATGTAGTACACCTAATGTTGCGGCTCTAAAAGAACATAATGGAAAGCAAGAACGGAGCCTAAGAAAAAATACCTGAAAAACAGCTGTAAACAACTACATGCTTGCAGCACGGAAAAGGTAAAACAAGAAGTACAAGTTCCGCATCAATAGTTTATTAAACAAATTATTATTTTTTATTTAATATTATAGAAACAAAATGTGATTATAGTGGATTTGATAATAATTTTTCATGGATCTACATTGGCTAATACAAAAGCCACATTTAAATTATGAAATAATGTAAAAAACAATTAAAGAAGTTTTGCATGCTTTACAGGACCCTTAACATTCAATTAAACACATGAATTGTGCACAACTCAAATGACAGAACATACGCACACAAGTGTTGTTGATTAAATCTTGAAAAAATATATAATGTATTTAACAAAATATAAATTCTCAACAGATAAAACTGTAAATTTAATTAGAGAATAACACCATATGTATCTACAGTATATAAGGTTTGCGAAATTGGAATCGTGTTGAAAAATCAGACTTAACTTTGTCCTTATTTTAACTTATCTACATTCAAAAATATCTGTCACCACACTGAATTTTTGCTAGTTATACGATGCACTCCAATAGCAATCATTCTGTTATGTCAACTCAAAGGGAATATGCATAGAATTAGGTGATATGGACATATGAACATTTTTACCACTTTTTCAAACCCAGTTTTTAGTCATAACAATAACTCAACCATAGTACATCAAAGACCAAAAGCAAAAGCAAAAGTGAAACCAAAAACCACCCTCAAAATTGGCAACAAGATCATCCCATGTCATGACTATAATAATAATAATAATAGTCTTGTTGGGTTCAAAACAAGCTGCTTTCACAGGAGCATCATCCAATCCAAGTATCTATTCCTCTATTTCACATATATGTACATTGGCATCGACCCTTCCCTGAGTTTCAAGCAATGCAAGATGGCAACAAGCAACTAGAAAAGAAACACAACCCTCTCTTCTGCACCCAATAAAATGAGAAAGAAACAATGTTAGAAAGTGCTAAAAACTTTATCAAAAGATGCAAAGAGTTGAAAAAATTGGAAATTAAAGTAGGCAAATTTGACCAAGAAAACCCAGTTAGTAAAGTAAAAGGTGTGTAGAGTTGTACCTTTTTAGCTTTGGCATAGAGAAGCCCCGGTGAGATCTTGTACAAGTCCTCATCAACAGGCTTTGAAGTTGGTCTTGGCAATGGTGTTGGGCTGGGTGGTTCACTATCCACGTCACTCATCCAATTCTTCAATTTTGTTTCTTTTTCATGTTGGTCAAGCATCCTTGTCTGAAATCTCAAAAACCCAAAGCAAATGTTTTACACACACTCATCATTAAGCCAAGTGTCTCTCTCTACCCATGAATTCTCCTTTAATGGAAATTTTCAACTTTGGTTAGTTTATTGTTGCATTAATCTTTAGTGCACAGTGAAATAAAAAACTTAGTTACCTGTGTTACCTGGTTAAAAATTTCTCACGCCTGTGATGCGCGGCTTCATGGAATCATTTAATATTTAGGAATCAGAGATAAAGACAAAATTGCTTTCAATTTCGACACACATGTCTAACCCCACACATATAATTTTTTTCGTGTCCACGTACTTCGATAATTTCACGTCCTTTTTAGGCGCTGAACTCTTTTTTGTTTTTTGTTTTTAAATGAGATTTGATTGTGCATCCTGTTTAAGGATGCACAGGATTAAAATGAGAAAAAAGATTTGGAAGAAAATAAAGTTGAAATAAAATAAAAAAATTGTATAAAGGTTATTACTTTTCTTGAAAAACATATTAAACAAAATATATATTGATTTTTTTATTTATATAAAACCAAGAGAAAAAACATTAAATAAATTTTATTCGGTAGTATTTATCACATGTAATTTTTACATAGTCACCATATTTTTTTTGTATTTACAGTAATGTTTTCATGTTTACCATAACTAAATGAAAAATATGCTTCTAAAAATTAAATTCTAACAATTATATGACATTATGTCATACCCTCCCCAGCCCAAGTATGGTACTCACAAAAGAATAATGATAATAACTGCAAGGTAAATCTTTAATTCTTGAATCTTGAAACTACACTTAGTTGTTAATTTTGTAAGATGACTTTTTCCTTGGTTATTTTAACCGCGTAAAACATAGAATTACCAAAAGTTTTAGATTTTGCAAATGGAAGAAGATGAAGATAAGAAGGGAATGAGGTTTTGTGAGACATACCCTTCTGCGAGGAACAACGATCATGGCTGGGGTGACAACATTGTTCTCATACAAATCCCCTGTAACGTAAAGATCACGCTCCTCAGACTCAGAGTAGCTACATCGCAGCAAACCAGCTTGTCTCGCTGTCTCAAAGCACTGTGTGAAAGGTAAGTTATCGTTCCAATCCCAACTCCCAAACGCTGGCACTTGGTTCTTCTTGTAGTAGCATTCCTGTTTCACATTCACACACCCACCCCATTAGAAACCATAGAGCATAACCAACCATGCAATAATGTTGACGGAATAACAAAAGGACTTACTTCCATTGCAACTTAACTAGAAGATCAGAGAAGTGTGAGTCTCAAAGAATGGTTAGAAAATGGGGTGACGTTGGTTGTGTGTGTGAACGTGGGTTTGGCAGTGGTTTTAAAAGAGAAGAGTGCATGTGGGTTGTGACAGTGTATATGATGAGAGAGAGAGAGAGAGTCTGGGGTAATGGGGTATGAGGTATGGATATGAAGGGAAATAAAGTAATTTTAATTGGAGAGAAAGCAGATAACAAAGTTTCACAGTTTGAGACAGAGGGACAGAGAGGTAAGATGCAAGGTGAGGACTGAGGAGAAGAGGCCCATAAAGTGTAAAAGAAGAGCCCAGCTATGATTCATTTTAAATTCCATCTTCACTTTTTCTTACAACTTTTTTTTTTTTAGCTGATTGGTATATACTTTTTCACTCTGATGCTTGTTGTAATTACAAATTTCAATATTTACTTCATGAGCATTTTAGCATTTCAAAAGTTGCATTGCTAGATTAATTTCTTAGAGATCAAATATACCACCACTTTGCTCTGTTTACACAACACTAAAATTGTGTTTCAACAGTGCATGCATGTTTAGATGCTAGCTAGTTAAGAGAGTTCAAATATATTTTTATTTTCAAAACAATATATTCTTTCTTCTCTATTTTATGCTTCGGAGTTTGGTGTGTGTATTTGAATTTTCTATGAAATTGTCTCAACTTTTATTTATAGGTAACTTAAGTTAGAAACATGTTTGTGAGATTTCCAACCCGAGTATGAAATCTCACCCTCTACGTAAGTTAGAGGATAAAACCACACCATTTGTTTTAAAGAAAGGCAAAAGAATAATATTATGCAGCTTATGAGGCTGTGATAATACATACTCAACCATGCATGTGTAGTAGTAGTATATATTCTGAATTCCAAGACATAGAATAAAGAAAAAATAATTTATACATGATAAGTATGCTAAAATCTCAAGTTTGATAAAAACAAAAATTAAGTTTACTGTAATAAGATTTGTGTTTGATTTCTTTTTTATGATGTTTTAAAATTCGGTCACTTACGTTCAAACAATGTAAAGACAAGTAAAACCTTTCAAGTTAATTTAGTAATAAAATATTTAAAAGATTAAAAGTGATGATTAACTTAATAATATTTTTAATTTGGCAATAGAATAAATTATGTGTGTTTCTTGTTTCTTTTTTCTTTTTGTCTGTGTATACATGTGTGAGGGGAATATGACCAGAGGACATAACCTGCACGTCTGTTTCTGATTCAGCTTCTGCTTCTGCTTCATATTAAATACTATCTTAAAAATGACATTTAAATTTTATATTCACTTTTTTTTTTGTTAAAAACAGTGTGATTCTTCTTTACTTTTGTATTAACATTATGAAATTCAACTTATTCAGTGTAAAGATTCTTTGCATTTGTTAGAGATTAGTGGCTGACAATCATAACCACAAATATATTCAATTTGTATCTTCTTGTACTTATAAATAATTAAAAAATGGGCAGAATTTAAATACAACCTTTTGAATACAAAAAAGTGCATTTGATTATGTGGCAGTGTATTTATGATTTGGTGTGATTAAACAAACGGTGGAATGCAGAATGAAGGTGTTTTTTGGCGCTGGAAAGGGGTGGTCTAGCTTTATTTCCCCACACGCGTACGCGCAGTGAACTTGGTGCTTCGTGCAAATGTCAATTCAGTGCATGTGTGAATGCTCGTGACTCCTTGCCAGTACTCTACCGGACACACTGGTCCGCCAATAAGTTAAAATATTGCAGAGGTCAACAACTAATTACAACCCAGATTCCACACCACACTTCTCCAAATGCATTAAAACTAATGTTAGGGTTTTGATCTGATATCATACTAGTAACCTACTCACAAGTTTCTTTACACAATTTATGAAAGTTACAATATGATCCTAGCAAGGTAGAGTGGTCTTGAGCCCAAAACCAGTTCTTTGTGTCAGACTCTCGCGTGTTTTCTTCGGCGTCACATCACATGTGTTTGTTTGTTTCATGTTTAGCCTCATCACATTTTTACACCTCTATCTATCATTCAAATTCAACTACATTTTATTATGCAGGAAAATTATTATAATAAATTTTGACAGTCGGTCTACACGATAATTTTGGATGTTTCAAAGGCAATTCAGTACTAACGTCAGTACAAGAAAATAAAAATAGAATAATATATATATATATATATATATATAATCATAGAAAAAGTAAGTAAATTAGTTCTATTTATAAATTTTTTAGAACCTTTTCTGCAGGAAATTATTTATTGAGATATTTAAATAAAAGATTAATTATTTGAACCAATTTTACATTTAAAGAAATTTTTATCGTACAATAAGTAATTAAAAAAAAGCAAATTAAAGGAAATGAAGGGAGAAAACTAAAACATTTAAAATTTATTAAAAAAAATTAATGGAGTAGAATCAACAATAAATGACTTAAAATTGACGTGATATTATAAAATTTTAAAATATTATTATAAAATTGAAGATATCTTACTATATTATTTTAGATTATAAATTATATTTATTTTAATGTCATTTAATATCTTATCTTATTTATAATCAAATAATTATATATCTTGTACATTATTACTCTATCATTATAATGTAAGAGGATTAAATGAGAGAATATTTCATTTAATGCATATAATTAATGAGTAAATTCAAGCTATGCAAATTTATAAAACTTATTCAAGCTATATTTTGATCCATGATATACTATTTGATTTATATAAGTCAATTATCAAAATTATTTTTCAAATGTGACTAGGTTGATTCACGGACTTAAAGTTTTTCGATAATTGTTTATATTGAGTTATATTTTACTTTAACTGATAATTTATAAAGGAATATGAATGTTGATGTGAACTTAATTTAGAACTATGATTGAAGTAATGCATGCTCAATTTAGAACTATCATCGAGATGTGTTCAATTTAGAGTTATCACTAAGATGTGTTCGATTTAGAGCTATGATCAATGTACTATTAAGTATTATGATGTACTATTGTTATGATATTATGACGTGTTATTATCATGTATTATGTCGTATTATCATAGTTGTTTTATGCTTATGCTTGTTTTTAGTTGATTCATTACTTAGTTCTTTCCTGAATTAATTGTATGAGTATAATAATTCTATAACATATTATCTTGAATTTGTTATATTAGTTTGAATTTAGTAGATGAATAGTTATTACTTAACTTTGAATTTTATAATCATCTATATTGTTTAGAAGTCTTGTTTAGTCATTTACTTGTTCATAATTCCTTATAAGTAGTCCCACATTTGTTATATGTTAGCAACATGAACCGAGTATAGGTGGCTTGTACTTCTTAGCTTGGGTTTCTCTTTTACTATTATATCATTAACAAATATCTAAAACAATTTTTCCTAATTGAAAGGTATAGTCTTTGGTTTCTTTAACCATTTACTTAAAGTTTAAGTTAAATTCAAGTGATTAGACACATGTTACACTTTCCACTTGTTTAGATTGGAATTGAATTTGATCAAAATTGTTGAGTTATTTTTAAAAATTGAACTGATTAAATAGGTATAGTCTCATAAATTGAAAAAATAAATTATGAGAAGAAAGGAAAGGAAAAAGAGAACATGATTACACAGGAAGAAAAAGAAAAGAATTGTTGGTACTATCAATACTCAATTTCGCATTTAGGTAACCTAATTAAAAATGTAAAAAAGGGTAGGGAGTAAAATATTCTTAAAAAAATTAAAAAAAGAACAAAAATAAATAATATTAAAGAAAAATGAAGATATAAAAAAAAGGGAGTGTTAAATAAAATAAAAATAAATAAATTCTTATTTCTAAACAAAACTTGATTAATTTTTATTTTATTTGCATTCACTTTTTTTAGGCCCAACCCATCTTATAAAATTTGGTTCCCTAATTTTTTAACTTAAAAATTGCTTTAAAGAGAGAAAATGAACAATGGATTGAAAGCATGGCAGCGCAAATCACTAGAGAAGAAAAAGGGAGTAAAGGGTGAACACATGTGAGTGGACATGAAGAGGTATACTTCTTTTTATTGTTTTGAAAACTAGATCAAATCGGTCCGTTCAACTGGTTGAATAAAAAATCAGCCCAGGAATCATTTTATTTTTAAATAACTGAATTTTAATTAAACCGGAACGAAATTGAAAAAAAAAGGACAAAATTGGAAAAATCAGATAAATTTTTATATAAGATCAAATTTTTTTAATATAATTTTTTTATAAAAGATATAATATATTTTAATTATTTTTTTTCATATTAGTTGCGTCAATTTTAAATAATAATTATTTTATATATTTTTATCTTATTTTAACCATTATCCATCTTTCACTCTTTAATATATTTTATATTTATAACTTTCATTATAAACTTAGGTAATCATGTCAGTAATCTTTATTATTTCTCTTTCTTTTTATAAAAAACATTATTACTAATAAACTTATTATATATTTATTATGATGAGTCTCTAGTTGTCCTAGATGCGAGAGAGGTCATCCGTAGGAGGATCAATAGGAGCGTGACTAAGAAATAAAGTCTCCTCCTTACCTTCACTTTAAATTTTCTTAGCATTTTTATTTCTTAAATTTTAGAGACTCATTTTCGCACTTTTTTTGTATGACCATTATGTACCTCATTTTTTAAGATGACGACTTCTTTTTGGTGGAAAAGAAGACTTGAATACATAGGATGATTGCATGTACTATCCAAAAGTGTAAAACACTCTATTTTCATGTCTTACACTCCTATTTTGGAGAGGAAAAAGTTTGGGATGCGGAATTGGTAGGCTTGAGACAACCCAAAAGGAAGCACACTTTTTTTTATGTTCTCCACACCTTTAGAGGCGTTTTTGGTGGGCTAGGACGAATTTAACATATTTAGCCCATCGGACTCTTAGCCTTTATGTTTAGGTTAAGTTTATGTCTCTTTTATAATTTCATCTAGGTCATTTCCCCAAAAGTCTATAAATAGAAGGTTTCTCCTCAAGTAATTAGGTTTAACATCTATGACAAGTGTGTGATGTTTCTTAGAGTGTCTCATTTCTTTGATTGTCTTATCTTGAAACTTGATTCAAGTGGCGTGAACCATAACTTATCTAGGTTGGTTCATCTCCTAGTGGGGTGCCAACACTCAACCACTACCATACTTCTTTTCATCTTTTCTTCCTTATTTGTTCACACCATTTATGTATCCAAGGGACTGATCCATTTTTCTAGTCCTTGTCTTTATTCTTTTCTAACTTCTTTTCATCTCATCCTCCCTCCCCAAAGGAGTTTGTGGTCCATAATGATCATGAATCCCTTAAATTTTTAAAAAGCCAACTCAAACTTAGTAAGAGACATGATAGGTGAGTAAAATTCATTGAGTAGTTTTCCTATGTAATCAAACATAAATAGGGAAAAGTAACATAGCTGTTTACGCTTTATCCAGGAGACACACTTTGTTGACTTTTCTTTAAAACAAAATTTTAAGCTTTGATCATATTCAGGAATTGTACCTAGAGATGATGACTTTTCCAAAATTCATGGTGAATGCTTAAAGGAGGGTCACAAGGACTTTTATATTCACAATTACTATTTTTTTTTTCAAAAGGAAAAAGAATATGTGTTCCTCAGGGGTCCTTAAGGGCATCACTAATTAGGGAGTCTCATGAGGGATGTTTAATGGGATGTTTCAGGGTGTCTAACACTCTTGAGATTTTGAGTGAGATTTTTACTGACCTCATATGAGAAAACATGTAGAAAAGTTTTGTGAAAATTATAGAACATGCAAAAAGGCCAAGTCTAGAGGCCAATCCATGGACCATATATTCCTCTTCCCATCCTTACTTTGCCTTGGGTAGACATATCCATGGATTTTGTACTTGGGCTTCTAAGGATATAGCAGAGAATGAATTACATCTTTGTAGTAGTAGATCGATTTTTAAAAATGGTTCATTTATTCCCTATCACAAGATGGATGACACGTGCCTAATTGTCAATCTCTTCTTCAAGGAAGTAGTTAAACTGCATGGGATCCCTAGAACAATTGTATCTGATAGGAACACAAAGTTCTTAAGTCATTTTTAAAGGACTCTGTGAGGGAAACTTGGCACAAAATTACTATTTTCCATAACTTGCCACCTACCAGACAAATAGTAAGATAAAAGTGGTTAATAATACCTTGTTTCAATTATTGAGATGCATGATTTTTAGGAATCCAAATAGTGGGAGAGTGTCATTCCACGTGTAAAGTTTGCATATAAATGAGTGGTCCACTAGATCCCACTCCCCATTTAAAGTTCAACTCATTGACTCCTTTAGACTTTCTTTCTCTATCTACTCATGATGCTTGGATTAGTCATGATAATCTAAAAAAGTCTAAATTAATTAAAGATATTATATAATAAGTATTTTTATAATTACGAAACTATAATAACAGAGTTATTATGACATGTGGATTATAACTATCATAATAATTCATGATTGAATGTGATTTTTGCACTAGTGTAGCAAATGAAAGTGCTTAAAATATGGTCATAAAAAAATACAAGTAGTTAATATAATTTTAATAAATAAAATGAAAAAGGTTTGGAAGAATGATTAGGTTATATGGATGGGTGGGTTGAATTTTAACTTATGTTTTATCCTTTTCTATCACATCAATTTTAGGATTTTGGTTCATGATTATTATTGAACAAATTTTGATTTGAAGACCATCCCTCCTTATTAAATCTACCTTTATTGTTACCTTTCTTCCATTTTTCACTGTTTATACTTCACTTCTTAAAAACTTGACTTGCAGTGCTTGTTTATCAACAACTTTTCTATTTGCACGACCTATACTTCCCTTCTTTAAAACTTGAACTTGTAGGGCTTATTTATCAACAACTTTTAACACTTAGTGATAGTAATCTCAACTTTGTCAGTCTTCAAAGAACCTTACATGCACAAGAACTCCTATTGTCTTTTGAGAAAATGCAACTTAATTAACTTTCATAGTCTTCTTAACAACTCCATATGCTTTACACAAAATGTCTCAAGGATTAATAATGTTTATTCCTCGGTGGATGAAACCTGAAACGTTTAAATACATAAACTTTTATAATGTATACAACCAAGAAGAAGAACACACGGGTACTTGATCATATTGTACCACAAGAAAGAAATTAAAAAAAGAAAAGAAAAAAAGAGGGTTATAACTGACAAACATAGAAATAGGTGAGGGGGCTTAGCAATTATCTGGAGGAGTGAGATTGCACTTTGCAGGAAGTGAAGTGGCAAGAGTTGGGTCAATTCCAAGAAAAGGTAACTCTGAAGAGTTCTTGTAAGAGCAAAGGCATTTCAAGTCAGCACTAGCCAGAGCCTTGCAGCATTCAGGGGATGGATCAACTGGGTTTGGCTCTGTGACTGAGGGCTTGCACGCCTCCAATCCCTCTTCATTCATGTCACACAAACTAAGACCTTTGCACCCTTTCCACATGCAACAAGCCGCCACCACCACCACCATCACTTGTAGTGCCACCCACTTCCTCTGTTCCATCCTTGATCACCACAATGCACCCACCACTACTGATCCCTTTCTAACCCAATAAGTTTGATCACTTGTGCTTCTGGATCTCTGATTCTTGTAACGTTGTTATAAAGAGAGGAGCTCTAAAATTGACCACAAGTTATGGACCCGTGAACAAGAATTGGCAGCATATGGAGTCACGGGCACAATTCTTGTGCCACTTTTGTTACTATACATATTATATATATTCCAAAGTTTTCAAAATCGGATTGTTCAATCAATATGGTTTAAAGATTTAATGAAATAATATTTTCTAATATAATAAATATATAATAAATTTATTTGTAATAATAGTTTTTTTTTAAATAATAATAAAAATTGTTGTTATTATTATTATAATAAATTATAGTAAAAATTATAAATATAAATATATTAAAAATATATAAAATAAAATAAAAATTTAATTAAATAATATATTGTTCATAAAAAAATATATTTAAAATAAAATTTGTTTTTTTATTATATTTTTTTACAAAAAATTATTTGATTCTATTCAAAATTTTATTTGATTTTATTTAATTTGTTCTTTTAATTTTATATTAATTTAATTAAAATTTAATTATTCAAAAATAATATACCGATGTCTAAATCGATTTAAGTATATAGTAAGATTTTTTTGGTCGTGGAATTTTATCTCGCGTCACAATTTTCAATATCAATCTCGGTGCCATGAACATTTGAAACTTTAATTAAAAGTACACCATGGTTTGTGAATACGGTTCATTAAATGAACCATAGAATTTTAAGCTGTAAAAAAATATGCTCTCCGACTTATAATTTAAAATAAAAAAAATTAATTTAGTTTGACTTTAATTTTGATTAAATTTTAAAAATATATTAACATATTTATATTAAATTAATTAATTAAAAATATTTAAATAAAAAATATTTTTAAATTTATATTTTATTAATAAAATTAATTTTTATTTAAGATATAATTATTTAATATACAAATTACAAGTGCATCTAATTTTAACATAATAATTAAAAATTTATTCTTTATTTTTTTTTAATAATTTATTAATTTAAAATAGTAATTAATCTTAATTATTATATCTTAGATTTTAGAAATTTATTCTCATATTTATTTTTAAAATAAATTAATTTCTTATCAAATTAATTTATAATACATATATATTTTTTAATAAAATAATATTTTAATTTTAATTTTAAAAATAATTATTAATATTATTACTAAATAATAATACTTATTATTTATATATTTATTATTATTATTATTTAAAATATTATATTATATTTTAATTATTAATATGATTATTATTATTATTTTAATAATTATTTTTATGATTTTAATAATAATAACTATTATTATTATTAAACGTGTAAATCAATTCTTTGTGAAAAGAGGATAGATTCTCACTTCATTAATTATGTCCATTGAAAATCGATTTTATGTATCTACAATCCATTCTTAATCCACTCTAATGGCATCGAACAACAGCTTCAAGAAATAATCTCTATTATTAAGGAATCTTGCATGCATATCTGTCATCCAAATAGTAAAGACTAAAAAAAGGATAATTGTGTAAAATTATAAGATGTGACGTGTATTTATTCTTTCATCTTCTCGTTCCCACCAAAAAATTTCATCTAATTTCTCTTTAAATCCACACTTTCAAATCCTCGCATTGAAACAAACACGTACTTAAACAATACATTACTCAAGACAAATAGAGACTTAACGAAGAGACATCGAAATAAAGTTATAAACGAATTATATCTTATTTTTAACTTTGAATCTAAATTAGTTCAATTGTATTTTACGGGTAGGATTTCATAAAATATATCTAATTAAAATTGTATTAGATAATAAATTTATGATTTTCAAATTAATAAAAATAACACAATCCAATTATATCATAAATACAAAATAAAAAAAATTAACCATTTTATATTGTATAAAAAAATCATAGTTAATCATATAAATATTATGCGTAAATATTTTATATTATTGTATTGTTTTTTTTTCTAGACTACAATATTTTTATTTAAAATTAAAAATATAATATTATTATTTTTTTAATTACTCAATTTATGATTCGATTCGAACAAATCAAACTCAATGTATTTATAGTTTAAATAGGTTAATAAATAAATTTAATAAAAAATTAATCTAAACATACAATTAAACTCGTAAGAAGATTGGAAGTTATTTATTTAGAATTTTGTCTTGGAGTTCCCTACAGCAACTCTGCATCCTTTGGATTTCAAGAGGCATAAAATAATGTCTACGAGCTCGTAAAACATTTTTTGTGATCAAAGTTAATTTGACAAATGCGTTGTAATTTATTTGTATTATGTTCTGTGAAGTAGAGTGAATATTTTATTTTATATAAGAGGATGATAGCACCTTTCACCTAACGACTGTCCAAAAATGAATAAATTAATTCTATGATGATAAATACCTCGTAAATAAGGTTTAGGATTAAACAGTATCAAACACGTCAGCCACTTCAAATTGATAGACCACATTCATAGTTTTTACTTTTCAATCTATTTTAGTTTGTTTTATTCCGTCTATAATCATGGATAAGATTATCTTTTGACCAGTTTTTTTTTTTTAAATTATAAATAAAAATAAAAATAAAACAGAATATAATAAAAATTATTATATTTTATATGTTATGCGATTAAAATATATGAATATATTATTATATTATAATTTAAATTATAAATATTAATAAATTTAAACTTAAAATATTTATTATAATTGAATATTTTAATAATAAATATGATAATTTTCTTAATTTATTCAATAAATAATATTAAATAATATAATTAATAGTATATTTTTAAAAATTATATATATAAAAAATATTTGTGGGTTAGTGGGTTAGTCACCAGCACGCCGCCCTTCGGCTTGTCCGTTTTGTCATCCTACATTCAAAAATCTTGATTCATAAATAATATTTTATAATAATATACATTTTAGCATGAAATTGTTTTTATAAAATAAATGGTGAGATCAATAACTAAAAGAAACATAAAAAGCTTTAGAGATGAAGAAGAATATTAATTGTACAGAAAAAATTACAATAATAAATAAGTTCGAGACAGTCGGTCCGGAGGATTGTGGGAACTTTATTGAATGTTAAAAAAGAGAGAGGTTCACCTAAGATAATATGATGCTTAAGGAGAATGGTAATAATATAGAAAATTCTCTGAATGAGAATAAGATAATTTGTAAAGAATATAGTGGTTCTGTTAAAATAAATGTCATAAATTTGAGAATCCTTAACAGGTAACTCTCATCTATAAAATTTTATAAGATATTTTTGAGTCAATTATTTTGATGTAAGTTAATTCAATCACTACAAGTTTTTCTTGATAATTGTGTAATTCATTCTAACATTTACAAAATATAAATAAATTTAATGTGAGTTTAATTTAGAATAATGACTAACTACGAAAATATAATATTATTTTTGAAAAAAACTAATCCATGGATAATTCATCGGTAAAAAAATAAAAAAGTATTAATTATTTAATAAAAAATAATTCTATAATAATTATTTTAATATGTATATATATATATATATATATATATATATTTGAAGTATTAATTATTTAATAAATATTAATCTAATAGTAATTTAATTAATTAATATAAGTTTATACAATTATTTAATATTAGTGTCTGCCACAAAAGAAGTATTACTAGCAAGACTCTTACACCATTAGAGAAACTCCTCTTACATCTATTAATGACCATTGCGGTGACCATGATCACATTCAAAATGATGTTTAGATAAACCTGTGTGAAAACTAGCTTAAGTATTTCTCTTTGAGGCAAGAGCAAAAATGTTTCCAAGAGAAAGCTATGTGTTTGAGTTAATTTTTGGAGGAATACGTAGAAGTGGATGAGGCAAAGTCATAGTATGGATTACTGGTTATCCCAAAATTTGATCACATTCAGCAACATGCGATTATATTTGTCCATTTTCTCAATATTAATAATATGATTAGATAAGATGGAGAATTTGATCTAGATGCCTGGTAGATGTTACAAGACATTTTTCATATCTTAAAAAAGATATTAAAATATTTGTAAAAGAGAGGATTTAGTATTAATAGAAAAGATGATTTGTTATTTAGTAGTGAAGTTTATGTAGAAAATAGTTTTTATAAAGAGGTGAGAAAGTAGGAGAATGTTTGTATGAGAGAAGACAGTATTTGATCTTGGGAGTGTTTCACTTACAAGTGAGGGGATCACCACCTATATATAGGCATGTGACACTTTTCTCTAGAATATTCTAGGAATTTAGAGATTATTCTTCCTACATTACACTTCAACTTATCTTTCTAGATTCTTCTAGTAATTTTAGAGACTACTTACATAACATTTATATTTCTAATAGTTTCTAGATTTTAAGGTAGTTTCTAGAACTTAATTTTCTTGATCTTTCTAGAAATTTGCATCACTTTTAACATTCCTCCTTGATGTAAATTCCTTTAACTCCAAGCATAAAATGTAATTGTTCAAACTTGACTCTTGGTATTGTCTTGGTAAATATGTCTGCAATTTGATCTTCTATAGTGCAGTACTCAAGTTGAATTTGTTTAGTCACTTTAGTCTCTCTAATGAAATGATATTTAATAGTTATATATTTTGTTCTTTAATGATGGACTAGACTCTTTGTCATTACTATCACTGACTTATTATCGCAGTAAATTGTAGTAGATCCATGATGTTGTTTTCCCATCTCTTCAAGTATTCTTCGGAGCCATATAACTTGTCCTAGAAGTGGGAGAGGTCATCCCTAGGAGGATTACTAAGAGCATGATTGGAAGGGAGACCTCCTCCTTACCTTCCATTTTAAATACTAAGTTTACTTAGTATTTTCTTTTCCTAAGTTTTTCACTTATTTTGCTTTCCTTTTATAGGCTCATTTTTTGCACCTCCTTTTTTAAAATATCACATCTTTTTGGTGGAAAAAAAAGTTTTGGAT